CAGATACCATGGCAGTGCCAGGATTGTGAGTGATTGCTGAAAATGTTGAAATGTACTCACTCACTTTTTATTATTATTTGTAAATATGTGTACAAATGGTTGGGGTTTTTTGTACTGTTTTTATCAATAAATCTCAGCAACAAAAAGAAAATACACCCATGTGTGTTGATTTCTCCCTAAGATGGCAAACTGAAACACAAGTTTCGACGGAATTTTAATGAAAACAACAGAATTTGAGAACAAACAATGGAATTTGAATAAAAAGAGTAGAATTAGAATGAAAAGAACAGAATTTGAATGAAAACAATGGAATTTGAATGAAAACAACAGAATTTGAATCAAAACAACGGAATTAGAATGAAAACAACGGAATTTGAATGAAAACAACAGAATTTGAATGAAAACAACAGAATTAGAATGAAAACAACGGAATTTGAATGAAAACAACAGAATTTGAATGAAAACAACAGAATTAGAATGTACAAAACAGAGTTTGAATGAAAACAATGGAATTTGAATGAAAACAATGGGAATAGAATGAAAACAACAGAATTAGAATGTTCTGTTCATTCTAACGGAATTAGAATGAACATATCAGAATTTGAATGAAAAGAACAGAATTTGAATGAAAACAATGGAGTTTTAAAACAAACAACAGAATTAGAATGAAAACAACAGAATTTTAATGAAAACAACAGAATTTGGGAACAAACAATGGAATTTGAATCAAAACAATGGAAATATAATGAAAACAACAGAATTTGAATGAAAACAATGGAAGTTTAAAACAAACAACAGAATTAGAATGAAAACAACGGAATTAACATGAAAACGACGGAATTTTAATGAAAACAACAGAATTTGGGAACAAACAATAGAATTTGAATCAAAACAATGGAAATAGAATGAAAACAACAGAATTAGAATGAAAACAACGGAACACAATGATTTGCTTCTGGATGAAAATACACCATTTCTAATTCTATACATATAATTCTTGATGTTCAACTATTTGAATATGGATGTCCAAGCTGCCCGATACTCTCAAAAAAAGAGTAAAGCTTGTAACATGAAGACAGCTGACAAGATATTAATCAACACGTCAATCAGCTGAGTGTAAATTGATTCCACCAGAGCTTCTCTATTTTTGTGCATTAATGGATTAATTAACCAACTCATGGTAGCGTTGTGGGGTCTGGCATTCCTACTCACATAGGGACCTTTAAGACTGCATGGCTGTCTGAGGCTGTCTGGTAAGTCTGTCAATAAAATGTTGGTCGCATGTTTCATTTTTGGATTTCAACTTTAGACAGCATAGACCAGCAAATACATATTTTTAAAAACAGACATATACACTGTATTTACTTTCCCACAATTCATTATTTATTGTGATGTTTGTGTGTAAGTAAAGTTACACTTTGGCCTTTGAGAAAAGGCAGGAGACATATTGCATTTTTAAATTCTCTCGTGTCTCTTATTCATATAGCTAATTTTTTCATTTTCACTTTATTTTTTAAGCTATTACTGACTAGAACTTTCACAAGTTTTTACAAGTGTAGTTATTACACCTTTTGGTCCATGAATTAAAGTCAACGCCTTGAACGTTTTTTTTTAGGGAATAGAAAACCAAAATTACCATATTTAAACCCTCTGACATTTACATCTGCTGTTCTTTTGATATTGAAGTAGGTGGACTCATCATAACAATGTCTAAATATGCATTCCACTTTATGTAAAATCATTTACAGAGGTTGTAAATTTCAAATGACTGTCTTTTTGTCCAGATAGGACCCCTGGAAAATTCTGCTGAAACAGTGATTGTTTGAGGAAATGAGTCTTTGGAAGATTGAGTCTTTTGACAGTTGATTCCACACTGAATTTCATAAATGTTTAATAGCAACAGAAATGCGACAGAAAAAATTGGAACACAGCACTTTAGAGCATCCTTAAAATAGACACTGCCCTTACTCTGGACCTCAGCAAGTTGGATGAATAGTAGTTGAGAGGTAAAGGACAGATATAAATGCATTATAATGATATTTTGAATTAATATTCAAATATTGTTCATCTGTAAACTGTAGTATTTATAATTCATTCTACACTCTCTTCAAATCTTTAAACTAAAGACAGCACGGTTTCAAGTGCACATGATTGAAATAAGCAAATATTTATTATAGCGTGTCTCTCTACATTCACCACAAATTACTCCATGTTGACTGCACCCACTGGAAGGCAGCACGGGGGTAATACAAAACTCTGTCTTGTACGCATGTGAAGACCTGTGAGAAGATGTTTAGCACTGCTTGTCGCATATGGGGAATTTCTGAAGAAGCATATTCAGTCTTGCCATCGTCAACTGTGCAGTTCTCGTAGTCTGTATGAAGATAAAAAAA